AGAATGGGCAGTTAAGTTTATGGTTAATGCTGTTACCATGGTGACGCATCATCACCATGAAACAGGAAGCGGTTTAATGAGAGCGTTAACATAGTAACACAGTACACAGCAGCTTCGTGAAGCAGAAACCGGTTTGGTCGGCGGTCTGTCAGTTCACCCACACTCACAGTTTTCATGAATTCAGTCCAGATGTCCTCCTGACATGTTTAGACTTAAAGTTATTGGACTTTCACTGTTGGGTCAAAATTAACTTCTACACTCATGTTACTGTGAATAATGGTGACCGCCCAAGCTAGCTTTAGCGTTAGCATCAAATCATCACTTTAGTCCAAAATAATCCTGTGAAATTAGGATTAGATTAATTAATTATTCATTAATAATTATCTTCAAAAGGTCACTGAGAAAGATGACGTCACCCTGTTAAAAAAATTACGTCATTTACAAAAAATTCACAAAAAATTTTAAGGCCAGTATTTTAACAGGGTGACGATGAGACAGTTGAGGATAATTCTGGTATAACAGGAAGTGAATGATCTCCTCAGCTTCACTCTGAGACTGTCATCCTCGTGTTTCCAGGATCTCTTCGCCCTCGACATGGAGCCGTACCGCTTCAGTGGCGTCAACATGACGGGGTTTCGCATCCTCAACACAGAAAACTCTCAGGTCTCATCCATCATTGAGAAGTGGTCGATGGAGCGACTACAAGCCCCGCCCAAACCGGACTCCGGCCTGCTGGATGGATTCATGACGGTAGGCAGCACTAACCCGTTTTATGGCGCTTACGTCACAGCTGATGTGCTGCGTGTGCACATGCTGGCGGCTGTATGTCATTTTTATACGTTCACATGACCGAATCAATCGGAGGCCGTAATGTAACGGCGTCTTTCAGGGTTTTATGCTGCGGGGGGTTTTCTGTTTGTGTAGAAGGATCAGATGAACAAGATCAATTCAGTGAAATATGGAGGAGTTTGAGAGGACGCATGAGTGAGCATCAGCTGTCAATCAAAAGAGCTCCTGGGGAGGGAGCGGGAGCGTCACGGCGGCCCCTCTGAGGGGAGCGTCGGGGTTGGAGCTCCTGGGTCTAAATGTTCAGTAATGAGCCGGTGTGAATGGTAATAGCCGTTTATCTGCCCTCCTGCCTCTTTCAGCTCTCCTCTGGGAGTGTGGCCAAAATATGACAATCTGTCAGTGTTCACGCAGAGAGAGGGGACAAATTGGATGGAAATTATGGCCTTGGTTATTTTAGGACGGCTTCCAAAAACGCATGAGATGAGGTGATTTGAAAGTGAAAAAGGGACTGCGGCTCGTCATGGACGTTCAAGGTCCCTCTGTGTGGGTCTGTTGTTGTAAACAGTCCATTTACTCCACCTCCCGCACAAACACCCTCTTTGCAGACAAACACCTTCTTTCTCAGCCTCTCCTTTCTTCTCTCCAGACTGAAGATTCACTATCAGAAAGGGAGTGTCTTCACATCAGAGACTCAAGGACGAGCCTCTGAGCCGGGCGTCTGTTCATGAATCCACCTCAGCTTTAATTTGTGTCCACGTTCGAGGACAAATGAGACACGACCAAACGTAGAAATGTGACTGAAACTACGCAGACACACTACGACTTAAAAATCAAAGACGACTGTTACAGTCCTGGTTGACGATCTGAGAGGGAGTTAATAAAACTGAGCCGTTGAGACAGATTTGGAAAAAGCGTCCCACCCCCTCCCACACACAAACTCTGTACCGCCCTCCCCACGACACGCCCCCTCTGACAGAAGATCCTACGCTAGCTTCAAATAGGATCCACCGTGTCGGATTGTTAGTGACTAGTGTCAGTAAACGCCAGCTCTGCTAGCGAGCGCCGTCTGCAGCTGCCTGGACAGCTACCGTGTTGACATGTCAGAGACTAATCAGAGTTATTTATGTAACATGAGATAAAAGGAGATAAAAATGACCTGATCAACTAAAACTCTGCTGTCTCAGCGTCTGTTGGTCACATGTCCTCTTTGACTCCGCCCTTTCTTCTTGCATTTTCTTCCCTCTTTGGCGGTGTGGCGAGCAGAAGTGTGTTTTTTTTGCGTCCTTCTCCATCACAGCTCCTGTAGCTAAACTGCTACTGTTAGCCGCTCAGAGCTCTGAGGAGGGCCGGGAGAGTGGGAGGGGACGAGTCGGAAACACAGGAGAGGGGTGTGTCGAATACAGCGAGGTGATTGGATGGAGAGGCGGAGCAGGAGATTGACCAATAGGAGCTGTCCGGGATGGTTTTTTTTTTTTTTTTTTTTGTAGGAGGGTAGGGGAAAGTCCAGCTCCTGATTGGCTAGTAATGTCGGGTTAGGGGTTCGAGTTAGGAGATTCAGAATTGCGATAATATTCTGTTCGATGTTCAGAACCGACAGCCCGCATTTGGCTTGAACGTGCGATGACGTTTCCAGCTTTTCTAGCCAATCAGAGGCGAAGGAAGTATCGCGTCTCGGACGGATGGCTCCCATTGGTCGATGTTTTTTCAGCCCTGCACCTGATAGGGTGAACGGATTTTTTCCAATCTTTTTTCTCTTCACTTTGTGGAGATCGTACTATAGAACCATGATCGCCATAGAAACGAGGTTCATAATAATAATCAATCTCTACAATCGTCAACCATGACTTTAATATATAAGATCCCAGTTTATCCTCCTCTTACAAATGTCCTCTTTTCCCACGTGTTCCTGAACGCACCATGAGAAGAACAACAGTCTTACAGCGAGCGCAGAGAGAGATGAATGTCTTCCACTAAGAGGTTAAATCACTCTGCAGGAAATGAATGGAAATGAGTGCAGATTGATTAATTACATAGTATGAATCACTTTGTCAGATCTGGTACTACATATTGACATATCTCACTGGACCCAAACCAGCGCTGAATAATAAATAATGCATCCCAAAGACCGGGGCGAGCGTGATAAAGCACTTCATTAGAGTGCTCTATTTATGAATCTGAGCTCTGATGTGTTTTATTCTTCGGAGGTTTCCACCCTGAGCGGATCCTTTAATGAGCGACTAGAGCAGCAGCAGGAACATAAAAACATAAAAACACACTGTCACTTTATGGTCATAATGACGCCGTAATGGAAAACGGTTTCTTCTAAAACAATAGCCTGATCCTGGCGGTTAAATGTGGCGTCCAAACCAGAGCGACTGAAGGAGTGTGTGAATTCATCTGTAGGACATATTTAAGCCCCAGTGTGGAGTGTGTGTGTGTGTGTGTGTGTGTGTGTGTGTGTGTGTGTGTGTGTGTGTGTGTGTGACCTTCCACCCTCGACCCCTCCCTCTCTCTCTCTCTCTTTTACACTGAGATGATTTTCTCTAATACGCCGGCGCCTCGCTGGGCTCTGGGCTTGTTTGCGCACGTTGACCAGGCAACATTTGTGTAGCGATGGTTACCGTGGCAACGGTGGCCGTGTCACCTTGTGATTTCACGAAGGATTGATTGACTGGGGTGGGGGAGGGAGGGAGGAGCGAAGGGGGGAGGCGAGCAGAGAAGGTAGATGATGGCGGCAGAAAAAAAAAAAAGGTTTACATGGGGAAGAGGAGCGGAGACGGGGGGGGGGGACGGCGAGGATGTTCGGAGCGTTAAGAGGCACATGTGATGTTTTCTCACGCCAACAGGGTTAGTGCATTAATGCAGAGCGGTGTCCAATCACAGAGACACGGGGAGCCGTGGGTGAGGCCGAGTGCTGTCCTGGGGAAAGACGCATAATGAGAAGTCCCTCCTCTGAGCTCGTTCCTCTGAAGTCTGTTTGTCTGAGGTATCTCTGATGGGGGGGGTGTTAAAGGCAGCCATGCTAATTAGTCTAATTCATCTGTGTGTGTGTGTACAAGTGTGCGTTTGTGTGTGTTTGTGTGTGTGGACTCCTCAACGCCGTCCCCAGAGTCTCCTCAGCTCCAACTGTTGGTACTCTCGATTCAGATGAGAAGAGCTAAAGCAGTTAGAGGCTCAACCTGAGAGATAATAATACAGCTGAGAGAGAGAGAGACTATCTATCTATGTGGATAGATAGATAGATAGATAGATAGATAGATAGATAGATAGATGATTCCTTCCTGTATATTTTCTTTTTGTTTAATTTACTTCTTTTTAAATCTCAGTTTTTCTTGACTGAATTGAAGATGAGGAGCTTCTATGTTTATGTTACAGTTACTGTGAATAATGGTGACCGCCAGAGCTAGCTTTAGCATTAGCGTCAAAACATCACTTTTGTCCAAAATAATCCTCTGAAATTACCAAACTAGATTCTCCATAAACCGCCATCGAGGCTCTCTCTTTTTCTTCAAATGGTCACTGAGACGGATGAGAGGAAGAGAAAGATGAGACAAATGGAAAAGATGAGAAAATTGAGACATATGAGGGGCCAAAATCAAGTGTTAGTGGTCAGTTATTGGATTAACAGCAAAATATAGGCTGCTAACTGTGATAGATAGATAGATAGATAGATAGATAGATAGATAGATGTTGATGATTCCTTCCTGTATATTTTATTTTTCTTCACTTTAACTTCTTTTTAAATCTCAGTTTCTCTGATTAAGGATGAGGGAAAAAAGTCGAACCCCAGCTGAGACTGAAGGGCCTGATATCTTCAGCATCTGCATCATTTATGTCTACATTTCAGTGAGCTATAATTACCAGAGCCGAGCGGCGGATAATCTCCTTTGTTAGAGACAGAAGTGAAAACTCTGCAGTAATAGCTCATAATAATTATTAATAACGAGCAGGTGTTTGGGTAAAGAGCCTCACATTCAGACTAATCTTTCACCTCACTTTATCATGTAAACATAATGAGGCTCATTGAAAACACAACAGTGACGCAGAAACGCTGAAGATAGATTCTAACCTCAGCGGTCTGAACCTCAAGAAATCAGCCGAAGCTGCACACACAGCAAACTTCCCCAGGACACCGTAAATAACGGCTAATGACAGCGCTCCAAAAACAACAACAGCAGCACCGGGCCCTAAATAAATACAACACTGGATGACCTTTCTGCTTCCTCCTGAAAAAACTCATGTTTCAGTGTGACGAAGAGCCAATTAGAGGAGGGAGGAGGGGCACAGGAACTAACGCCCAAATTTAGATTTTTATGGTTACGTTCAGACTGCAGGTCAACTCTGATGTTTTAACCATCTGTGACTCATATCTGATTTTCTCATCTAAGTGTGAACAGGTCAGTTCTGATTGGTTCTGATCTGACCCAGGCCTCTTCTGTATGTGGATATAAATCAGATATGTATCCGATGTGACTGCAGTGTGGACGCCCAGGTCGCGTTCATCCGACCTTTACGTCATCAATATGAGACAAACGTCACCATTGTTCGACAACACAAACAGGCACGGAAAGTAATTTGTGCTTTGTGTTCATGTGGGTCACTTTACGGACACACATTAGATGGCGCATTTATTGTTGTAATGTGAACGACCGCACAAAAAGATCGGATTTAACAAAAAATCGGAATTGTGCATCATAACCTGCAGAGTGAACGTAGACGAAGATTTTAAACAAACTAAAAAAAAAACAGTCCAGGAAAGCTTCATACTGTACCTCCCTGCATACATCATTATTAAAGGGATATTCTGCTGTAAAATTAATTTAGGGTCAAACCCACAGTAACACCGAGTTAGACCCCCCCTCCAGAGATGAATGTTGTCGACCGCTTGCTTCTCTAGTTATACCAACTTTAGTAACGACCACAGGATAGAAATACAGAGAGCCACGCCCTCAACCAAAACGCCACTCTATAGCCACAAATAATGCTCAGAACAGCACCTAACTTCATCAACAGGACATATAGGGTCACATACATAGTACTAGACACCAAACATCTTTTTAACTTTGACTCATTTCTTTAGCAAAGAGACTAAACACAACTCACCTACTCTCTTCCAGCAGACGCTTGTTTGTAGAGAGACCTCAGGCCAGTCCATTACGGACTACAGCGGGGTGCCGCAGCTCAAGGAAGAACATTTATGATCATTTCTTCATGGAAATACAATCAGACCGAGACGCTAAGACAGAAGAACTACCGCGTCTGTAAAATGATGAATATGGTGATTATTACTTCAAGGAAATGATTAAGTAAAATAATTATGTTTGTGTTCGACCCTAACTTAATTTTACGCTGGAATATCCCTTTAATGACAGCCCTCCTCTCTACTATAGGAAACAATTACATAACAGGAAAAAACGCCAAAGTCACATGACTCTAAATGTGCAACATGAGCTCCTCTTTTCTGAAAACAAAATAATCAATATTATATGATAAATAAATAAATAAATAAACCCTCACTGGAGCTTCTTCAGGGTTACACTGACACTAACTGCAGCCCACAGGCTCCTCCCTCCAGAATCCGGAGCATCTATGCGTTCTCTATAATGCAGAAGATCTGACCATGAGCTCCTCATCACATTTCTATATTTAAACCACGCCACACTGAATCCTCACAGGCGGTGTTTGTTTGCAGCGCGCTCCAACATTGGTCGCTTGTCTGTTTTCATTTCCCTGATGGAGTAGCCGCTCAGTCTGCGCTCGTTGTCCCCGCTGGTCGATACGTTTCATTCTGAGCCGATCTTTGGGACCTGGATTAAAACACACAGGCTGTTAGCATCAGTGAGCTCAGGTTGGCGTGAACTGAGTTTGTCAGCAGAGGTCAGAGGTCGGATCAGACGTGATGATTCGTTAGAGATTGAGAAGGTGAGGAGATGTTTCCTGCTCTTCAGCTGAGACTTGAGGATAAGAGGACGCTGAGCTTCTCAGATGGTGGTGTCCTGAAAACGTGTCTGTTATATCAGTGAAGAGATTCTGATCTGTGACATTTACTGACAGTTTATTCTGAGCCTGAACTGCACAGTTACATCTGTAATATCACAATATTTGACATAAAGCCTGTCGTCGTTTTTTAGGGTTTATCACATCAGGGACATTAACTGGCAAATTCAGGGAGACCCAGTATTAGGCCAGTACTGATACTCTGTAGAGTACTGGTTCTCAACTGGTCTCACTCTGGGACCCACATTTTCACCATAGTCCTTCAGTCTCGACCCACTTTTATAAAATTCAAACCAAGAAAATTAATTTTTTATTAAAAAAACCTTTAAAGACTCAAATTTTTAACATAAATTCACTGTTTTTATTGAGTGAAGTGTATTTCAGAGCAGATGAACTGAGGACGACAAAGTGTCGTATACAGAAAATATCAAATTAAACAAATTAAAGACCAGAAAAATGAAAAATGTGACTTATTTACATCTCTGCATTCAGAGCAAATTCAGACGAACTGAGGAGGACAAAAGTGAATAAATATCAAATTAAACAAAATACAGACCAAAAAAAAACAACCATATAATTTTACTGCATTCAGGCCACATTAATAAGAGACGGAGGAGGACCAGGACCTTTCAAAATAAGATATTTTTCAAAATAAAAGACGTGTAAAACATCAGATCCACTTTAAATATTTAGTTTTTGACCAGCTGTTCATGACCCATCCAGAGCGTGTCTGTGACCCACTTTTGGGTCGGGACCCACCGGTTGAGAACCACAGCTTTACAGTACTGGTACCCAGATCAGTACCCAGAACCGTATAAATGTCAGTATCTGTGGAACAGTGTGAATCTGATGATGATGATGATGATGAAGTTTCAGGGTGTGTAGACTTTCAGAGCTGCTTCTCTCAAATTCTGGGAGATGGTTTACAGAGGAGGAGAAACAGGGAGGAGAAACAGGGATGCAGCAGGACTGCAGGAGAACACATGGGGTGGGGGGGTGGGGGGGCACCTTGCTGCATTAACAAGCACTGCTGGGAATTGACTGGGAGCCCACCCACACAGTGACAAACAGAACAGAGGAAACTGCAAGGTTGGCTCCTCCAGTCTGGGACTGCAGCATCCATATTCATGGACATGTTTGGGGGGGTCCAGGTTTGGCCTTTACTGCTGGATTGTTGTTTGGTCGCACACGTCTGCCTGTAACATAACAAAGGAAGAGAATACCAATACATGAGGACCCCCCCCCCCAGTGGGCTTCATTCATACAGCATTTCCTCCAAATGAGGGTCCTCAGTGAGACTGTTGAGCCAGATCTGCTCCCCAGTCAATACGAGATAGAGCAGAGGACACACACACACACACACACACACACACACACACACACCCACACCCACACCCACACGGCTGATATGAATCACTGCACAAATAAACTGGAGTGAAAATTAGATTCAGTATTTGGATTCATTTTATTTCGCTCAGTTCTCGGCCTGCAGCTTAAATCTGCTCCTCTCAGTACGTTTAATATCCTCATAGAAGAACCGGAGACTCTCATCCATTCATCAGCATGACTCACATCATCTTACTGCTCATCACGGGTCCAACACTGTCAGCAGAGGAGCTAAAAACAATCGACTGAACAGCATGAGTCACTAAAGAGAAACTAGTTTAAACTTTTAAAGCAGAGTGATAACAGACCTCATTTATTCTCATTTCTAACTGTAAGAGTTTAAAAGTATGTTTTTTACACCGACAACAGGTGAACTTTTTCACTGACTGTATCCTTTATATATTTTATAATGTCTAATAACTTTCTTTGCATTTTCATATTTTAGGGATAAATTACGTTAAAATAAAATCACGTTTAATGACGAGAAAATGACCCGAAATGAAAGATCTCCGTTTTCTTGTTGGGTCTGTTTCATTAAAACCTCGAATCCTGAATCGTTTCCTGTCAACGTTCTCAGAGTATGAAATCGACATCAACACTTTAAACGATAAATCAGATTTTTCACCACATAATATGTCTGAACTTTAAGCTGTAAATCTATTTTTACATGTCGCTCCTTTATTTGACATTTTCAGCTTGAATCAGTTTCTGCAGGTCTGACTCTGTCCGCTAATTTAAGAAAACTCAATTTTTCTATCATGTTGGGTTAATTAGTGTTGTTTATTTTCTCATGATGATCTTTAGAATGGTTTATTTCTCATGATTACGATGTATATAGTTGTTTATTTTTTTCATGGTGATGGTGTTTGTAGTCGTTTATTTTCCTCATGATGAGGGTTTTTATATTTATCCATGTTCTCCTGGTGACGATGATTCTACCCGGTTGATCTCGCTCTGAAAAGCCTCTGAAAGCTCGTCTATTATCGGCCCCGGAGCTCTCTGAAGGTCCGATCTCGTTAGTGCGTCTTGGAGAAGCGTCAGACTTCCTGGTCGTGTTGGAGAGGGCACACAGATCTAACAGACGGAGCTCCACACAGGTTCACAGGTTGGTTGCGTCCATTAAAACCATGTGATCTCCCTCCCTCTGATCCCAGTTGGCAGAGCGGCGAGCCTTTTAAAGACAGCGACTGTGGAGAGCAGACACTCGATGCCCTGTGCCGGCCACCACCAGCTGGGCTTGGCACAGCATCAACATTATTAGCACCGACGCTCTCTCGCTCCATAGAAGCCTTTTGTGAGGGAAAACAGGCAGCAGGAGAGGGCCTGGGGGAGGGCAGCGATCACGGAGAATTCAGGTTTCATGTCGTCTGTTTGTCTCGACACGGCGATGAAAAAATCTGAAGAAGAGCAGCAGCGATGGATTAAAATGTTAAAGAGAATCATCCCTCACTCTCCTCAGTCAATAACATCCTCACATTCAGCCGCACACTTCCTCCACAGTCATGCTGGACGGCGCCTCCTGATGGTATATAGGATAATAAAAGGCTGTGCAATCAGGGACTACAACCATCATCAGATCACTATCATACAGTCCACCCCGGGAGCTGTGTGTGTGTGTGTGTGTGTGTGTGTGTGTGTGTGTGTGTGTGTGTGTGTGTGTGTGTGTGTGTGTGTGTGTGTGTCATGGTCACACTTATGCTCAGGGATATTGGCTGGCCTTGGGAGGTCTTGGCGAGTTATCATCCTTCTTGGAGAGCTGGGCCAGCCCCCCTAAACACACACACACACACACACACACACACACACACACACAGACACACACACACTCACACACACACACATGGATCTATTCTTTATGGTGTGTATATAGTGTGAGCGTCTACTGTATAGTATCCATTTAGATGGAAAACTGTGTCCATGACAGAGAATAGAGCTCTGTGTAGAGAGAGAGAGAGAGAGAGAGAGAGAGAGGTGGAGCTTCAGACAAAAACACAAACACTGAGACACACAAACACACAAACACAACACTGAGGTGGACTCAACAGTTTCCAGAACATTCAGGGCAGAAAATAAGAAGTAGGACTACAACTACACACAACTGAAATCCCACTGTCACTGCTGTTAGCGTGGGACTCTGACCCCCGACCTCCACCTTCATCCTGATCGTCTCCTAAAAGGTCGTATCCTCCGATCCATGAAATCCGGAGAAATATTACATACATGTCAAAAACAGGACTAAAGGACTGTTTTTGTTTCAACATGTTTCAGTGAAATGAAAACAAAGTGCAGCAGCAGAAAGGAGGACACATTAAACACAACAACATGTCAGACCGGATTAGTTTAAATCGTTAGTTCAGATTTGCTCGTGGGAATAATTGTGATGAGTTTTAATGTGCGATTTAAAATAATAAGAATGAAGCTGAGTGGGACTCTGAGCGTTAGCTGTTTGTAAAATGACTCATAGACTAGAATAAAGACATTCAGAGACGTGGAGGTCATGTGTGTGTTTGATGATTAACAGAAACTGTGCTGATGTCTTTAGAGAAATTATAATGAGAAATAAAAATAAAGTCTAAAGAAGAAAAAAGGAATAATAATAATAATGGAGAAGTTGTAGTGAAGTTGAAGGTCTGATCCTCCAGCAGTGACCCTGAGACCTGGTCAGTGTTCAGATGGATTAACACAGTCTGAGCTCTAATGTTGACTTTTCTCTCTTTAAGTTAAAACACGTTTTTTTTTAATTCAGTCTGATTTATAAAACGTTTTTATTTTGGACATTTGTGGGCGGAGCTGCTGGACCAGGACAGAGTCTGAGAAGGGGGCACCTACTGGTGGTTTTAGCTGGCTGGGGGTAAATTAAACAGGAAGAGGAGAGGCCATCATGTCAAACAGCCACTTAATCAGCTGTAGGTTAGGCAGCGTGGTGCTAATGAGGGAGGACCATGGAGAGGACGACGCTGCCAACGGCACGCTGCTGCTGCCAGAAAGGTCTGCTGGGAAACCAGGTTTAACTGTAGAGTTAGGGACATTAGATAACATATTAATATGATAATAACAGGAAATACATGATCTGATGAGTGAGTTTGACTTCTGTGGGTTTTTGTGTTGAACTGAGAGGTTAAATTTTAATATTTAGAGTTTTTCCGATCGTTCGAGCCGTTTGTCGTATTTTCTTCTGTGTTTGTGTTTCTAATCTATTTCAGTTGTAATTGTCCTGAAGTCTTGTGGTGTGTCCTGAATCACATACTTCCAAACTAAATAATTGGATTTTTTAAATTGAGTATACTAAGTACAGTTTGTACTCAATCACACAGTGTGTGAGTTTCAAAGGTGCAGTGCCGTCCCACATCGTAGACTGCGGCGCGGCGCACTCACCGGAAATGACGACGCGATTTTCCTCATGTCTGAACATTTATTGTGCATAACAGAAAAATAACAAACTATTAACATATAAAAAAATTAGAAGAAGAAAACTAAAGAGACTCTGTTTACATATTAAACATCTGGAACTCTGTAACTAAAGGTAAACTATTTACAAATTAATCATTTAAAACTAGAAACTATTTACAAAAATCTGCTTTTTAAATATATTGTATATAATATATAAAATATGAATATAATACAAAATATAAAGGCAACTTATTACTTACATCTTCTCAGAGCTCCCAGGTCGACCGTCGCCGACTCACTGTCCGCCGCCGTTCTTACCGATGAGATGAGTGCGGGCGAGTGTCCGCAGTCGGATACTCAAAATCTTGACTGATTTGAGTTCGTCATCCGGGTACTTTTGCAAACTCAATCTTCACATATTGTCCATCCTTTTTTTCATTGTTGGCTATAAATTGTTTGTTTCTATAAATAGAAGAAGTCGTAGTCAGTGGCGGGTGTGTTGGCTGCTGGAGGAGCAAACAGGTTTTTGATCATCATCTACATCTTCATCATCCTGTCGTCGCCGTTTGTTGGAATTTGCTTCGTCTTTATTTTGCGTTTGGTTTGTTTACAAAAGAAGAATAAAGAAGGAAAACGTGACTTTGACGAACCGTTTCATTTACACCTGGAAAACAACAGACACGGCTATCTTAGACCTCAGTGGCTCTTTGGATAATTTCAGCAGGTGAAATTAAGTCACATCACCAATAATCAAATATCTATAAATCAATAATCGTTCAGTTTTCTGTGATTCTGTTAAAGCAGCTGTCCTGTTACTCTGCATATATCATATTTAATAAAAACTGGAGAGTCACACCTTTGTAAAAACGTAGAAACTTTTGGACATTTTCATCTGAAACTTTCTGCTCCTCAGAGAACAGACGAACATTTCTGGGTCATAATCTGGAACACTAGAAGCTCGTCCACGTTCACTGATGTTCACAGTCAGATCTAGTGTAGAAAATGAACCTTCAATACAAAGAGTTTGTTTGTTTGTTTGTTAGTTTCTAAAAAAAGGTTGAGGTCTAAAGATGAAGACGTTTGATTTTCTTTGACATAAATGGATTATCTAAGATCCCAGAGGAGGCCGTATTCACTCTCTAATATGATGACTGTGCTTCAGTAAAACTACAGGAACCCTGATGGAGTATATAGACATACGTCACATAGATCTGCTCCTCCTCTCACGGCTCCCTATGGCCCTTTTTGTTTAAACTCAAAAACTCTGCGGAGTCGTCCTTTATCCCCTTTAAAGTGCGTTTAAATCTACAATAAAACCATGAAGGCGCTTTCACATAAATCCGGAGCAATCATCGGATCTGTTACCCAGGGGTCCGCACTGGAAGAAACCCGTCTCACTTCCCTGTGACACAAAAAAAAAACCTCATTTCAAAGAAAGTACAACCCGGCTGCTGTGTCGCCTCTGCATGTGGAAACGCAATGTGAGAAAGGGATTAAACCTCCAACGCACAAAAGAAAGAGCGGAAAAATGGCAGTGACGGCGCTGGCAGAGCCCCCCTGTATACCCACACGGAGTGACATTCATGCAGAGCTCAGAGAAATACTGTAGAGAGGAGAAGAAGAAGACACAGGGAGAGGGAGACAAAAGGGAGGGTGGGGGGAGAGAGAGGAGTAGACTGGGGCAGAATAAGGCCGTCAGAGGGATGCAGAGAGACAGAGTGGAAAAGTTTGGGACAGTGAGAGAGATTGCACTCGGCTGAGCCGTCGCCGCCGCCGCCGCAGCCGCAGTCACCCGAGGCTTTTCTTTTCCCACCAGAATGATCTGACACGGCCTGCTCTCCCCTCTCTGCCAGCAGGCCTGAAACAGACATAATATGCCCCATAAATCACACGTCACATTTCACTGTTTTCCACTTCCTCTCATTTTTCTACCAGAAGTGCAAGTTACACAATTTTCTGTGCGCTCCAGTCAGTTTCATCACCCAGAGTCTGACATAAATCAGCAACGCCACAAATATATTCATACATGACGACCACGCTGCAGCCGTCCAATCAGAACAGAGTACAACTGTTATGCTAGCATATCATAAACCAGGCGCTGTAACATACCTTAGTTTAACCACAGGAATCAGCTGATGTCCCTCTGCTCCTCCTCCTTTGTCTCTATGGCTGCATCTTAGTTAAAGGGATATTCCGGCGAAAAATTAAGTCAGGGTCAAACACCGAGTTAGACCCCCCTCCAGAGATGAATGTTGTAAATATCTATAAACATCATTTCTTCATGGAAATACAATCAGACCGAGACGCTAAAACAGAAGAACTACCGCGTCTGTAAAATGATAAATATGGTGATTATTACTTCAAGGAAATGATAAAGAAATGATCATAAATGTTCCTCCTTGAGCTGCGGCACCCCGCTGTAGTCCGTAATGGACTGGCCTGAGGTCTCACTACAAACAAGCGTCTGCTGGAAGAGAGTAGGTGAGTTGTGTTTAGTCTCTTTGCTAAAGAAATGAGTCAAAGTTAAAAAGATGTTTGGTGTCTAGTACTATGTCTGTGACCCTATATGTACTAACCTCAGTAGAACATGGTGTAGTTCCGTTCAGTAACAGAACCTCATTAGAAAATTAGCTGATTTAACTTTACTGTGCTCTTGTTCAAATATATTAACTCGACAGCACATATATTCATACCTGTTAACAAAATCATGATTTTATTGATAATTCGGCTCAATAAAAACACCTTTACCTTTTCATTTTACTACAGTAGAAGTTTATTGGCCCAGATTATAGACTACAGAGGTGGAGAAACGTTGGTATAAGTATGTGTTTGACCCTAACTTAATTTTACACCTGAATATCCCTTTAAGAAGAGTCTACGGTCAGATTATCAGTGTTTAACCAGTTTATAATCCAGAACATGATAACAGTAATCCTGAGGGTCACATTACAGTCTGACTGTAAACAGAGAGAGAAAAGGACATTTTAACTTTGTGTTCATGAAGGAAACAGACAGACTCATGTTTTATTATAAAGGCTGGTCTATAAACGCTTCCTGCTGTTAGACGACAAACGAAATGTCCATCTAAACTCTGAGTCTTAGTTTAATCATGAAGTTTACTGTCTGTTAGTGGATGTTTTTATTTGACTTTAAACATCTCTAACAGTTATCAAACTGAAAACCTCTAATCTTTAAAGCAGAAACCTGTTGGTGCCAAAGAGGAAAATTGTGTTTTAATAATTTCTTATTTATATTTATACATATTTGATTTTTCTTTAAACATCTGTAACAGTTATCAAACTGAAAACAGAGAAGTCCAGATCCGGATCAGTTTGTTAAATCGTCTCAGTTAAAGGTGAGTTAAAGTCCGATGTGTGTGTCGTCCATAATGAGCCGAGTTTCCTTCAGGTTTCCCTTCTCTGTGTGAGAGTTTCGTCATGATAAAACACACATATATCATCTCTCTCAGCAGGGGGCCCGTGGCTGTTGTGATTGAAGTCCAAATTATAAATCAGCGAGTATCTCTCACAGAAAACTGCTCGTCCTGTAAAGATTTAATTGCTCAGAATCAAAAGGTTTAAAGTCCGTGATTTTTTTCCTGAGTGGATTTTTTTCACCCACAGAGCGCCGAGGCAGAAACACGTAAAAAAAAACGAGGGAATGAAATGAATAATTACCTCGGTCTTCTATCAGATCATCAAACCCCCCATGGGTCTGTCTGCGATCTGAGGGCAGAGTGACTGCAGCTCCAAGAAAACAATGAGCTCCTCTCTCTCTCTCTCTCTCTCTCCCTGCTGACGCTCTGACTCTGACGCTGATGGCAACGCTGCCGGTGTGTGTGTGTGTACGTGTGTGTGTGTACATGTGTGAGTGTGTGTGTGGTGTTGCTCCATGGCTGGCAGCTGCAGCCCAGTGATGCATGCTGAATAACAGGTCAGTGCTAATCTCATTAAGGCTAATCAGATGTATATGATATGTATAAACAGTGGAGCTCCACACCGAACACAGGCAGCCACAGTGCACAACCACGGGTTATTCAGTGTGTGTGTGTGTGTGTGTGTCTGTGTTTGTGTGTGTGTGTGTGTGTGTGTGTGTGTTTTGAGGAATTCTGCAGAGAGGATGACTGATTGCAAAAAGGTGAGACGAGAAAGAGAGACGCCGTTTTTCAGGAGCAACATTAGCGGAGGAGTTATGGAATTATGCACAGGTGGAGAGATGGTGTGAATACTGATGCAGTAAAGAGGAATATATTTGTGTAAACACACACACACTTACACACACTCACACACACTGACACACACACACAGCAGGTAGATCAGTGGATCCTGCAGCTCACCTGTTCTAAATGAGGAAACTGCAGAAACCACGACAAATGAGGCAGAGCTCAGGGAGGCTCACACACTGAGCTTAGTCTGTGTGTGTGTGTGTGTGTGTGTGTGTGTGTGTGTGTGTGTGTGTGTGTGTGTGTGTGTGTGTGTGTGTGTGTGTGTGTGTGTGTGTGTGTGTGTGTGTCCTCCTAATTGCTGCTTCCATGTGTCTTTAAATCTGAATGTTGGTCACGTATCATGTTCATAAAAGAGGGGGATGAGCAGAGATGAACGAAGACATCAGGCGCCTGGACAGCGAGAAATCAGACGCCAAATAAGAGCAGAGATGTGCTGAAGTGATCTGATTGGTGAAGCTGCCATGTTGCCCCGCCTCCTCTGCTAGTCGAAGCAGAAAAGATAGTTCGCTAGCTAGCTATCAATACTAAATAAAGTAAAGATCAAATTATCAATGTGACGGAAAAGGAAACCAAAGAAAAGTTGATTCGCCACAAATCAGAGACAGGAGACAAAGAAGGTTAACTCGAGAGTTTTTTATTGTTATTGTGTTTATGGGAGAAGCTCATGATGACGTCGTTAACAAGATTGATCATTTTTCTATTTAGATTTTAAAGCCCTAAACGTGAGAATGGTGAGATTTGAGGATTCCTGGGATTTCCACCGCATCCGAAACAGCTGCAATTTTCGCCGTACGCAAAGTCCTACCAAATCCATTTGTGAGACGAGTTTCGTGGCAGATTACGAACAGTGGTAATCACCAGAACTCACAAGAACCTGCAGATTCACGTTCAATCGCACAATAACGAGTTGTCTCTCTAAAGACAGACACATAGACATATAAGCAGTAGATTGTGTCCTTCCAGAAGAGGAAATCTACTTCTAGACTTCTAGAATCAGCATCTCCTCATCCATGGTGTCATCGGGGTGAAATGACGTCTAAAAACCTTTCACTTGTTCGTCTCCGCCCGTTTGCATGGTGTGAAATACGATCCTCCTGAAACATGGAGTGTTTTATTTTGAAAAGAAGCCGGATGTTTTATTTTGAAGTCTGTGCCCGACTTCCTTTCCAGCACGGGTTAAATGTAGGATAAGATGAGTAATATTACTTTGTCCACAGGGGGGCGCACAAACTAAAAAGTTCCTCACAGGAGCTTTAAAAGACGATGAAATACAACCAAAGGAGGGATTTATGATTGTAAAAGAGAGAGAGGCAGAAACTCGACCAGAACTTTAGAACTGTAAATAAACTGTAAATAAACTGTAAACAAACTCTCTAAGTGTTCACAGAAACTAACTTCATATTTGAATGATTTTACTTTACATGAAGCAGACGGACTGAGAGGTCTCAGGTGTGGGTGTTTAAAGGTTCGAGTCTTCCTTTCCTCTCTCTCTCTCCTCTCTCTCTCTCTCCCTCTCTCCCTCTCTCTCTCTCTCTCTCTCTCTCTCTCCCTCTCTCTCTCTCTCTCTCTCTCTCTCTCTCTCCCTCTCTCTCCCTCTCTCCCCCCCTCTCTCTCTCTCTCTCTCCCTCTCTCTCTCCCTCTCTCTCTCCCTCTCTCCCTCTCTCTCCCCCTCTCTCTCTATGTCCTCGGGGGTTCAGATTGGTTTCACTTAAAGCACTTAAACAGCCCACAGGACTCGTGCTCGGCTCGGATATAAACATCAAGATCGTTCTTGGATTGTTTTTAAATTGAATGCAATCTGCCAGAGCCGTGAGCCATCATTTCACTCTTCCTCCCTCCTCCTCCTCCTCCTCCTCCTCTCTTGATCTCTCCGTCTTCCTCTTGATGCCAGCGTCTTTTTGTTTCCATCACAAAGGGATTTTGAGGAATTGTTCTGCTCCAAAGACAAGTAGGAAGAAGATCTCTGCCATGCAAATCATCCGAGCCGTGACAATATTTGATATATCACAGCGATCAGATGTTAAAGGGGGGGAGGGGTTTCTAGGTTTGGTGGTAAACGTCAGCTGACTCTTGTTTAGACTGTAAACCTGTTAGAGGTGATATCAGCAGGTCTCCTCATGGTTCTGGATCTGTACGGGGTCTCCTGGTCTGAACTGAGTCACTCATCAAACCAGATTTTCCCAGATGTCCTTTTAGAGTCCCTCATAATTAAGTAAAAAAACAAAATAAACTCTCAGACTTCAGTGTCGTGGACGTCATAAACCCTCAGATTTCTGCTCGTTTATCTCAGCGCGTCTTTAAAGAGTCTGCAGACCGACAGGAACGGGATAATACCGATCAATTTAAGAGAAGAAGAGTAACTGATGTTTGAGGAAGGATTAAAGGTCAAATCTGAAGTCTGAGAGGAAGGAAGGAAGGAGGGAAGGAAGGAAGGACAGAGGCTGTAGGTTTAATTTGAATAACATGAAGTCACAGTCGAACCTGAATCTGCTCGACGCTGATTTATCGAATAAATGAAACACAGATGATCAATGACAGTAACATGATAATTCATGACTCTGTTTCTACTGTAAAAGCTCTTTTTATGTGTTTTAACTAAAAGTTTGTAAATTACCTTCAAACTGCAGCTGAAAGGATTATAACTGGATCAAAGAAAAGGGACCATATCAGCCTGATTTTATCTTCCCTTCACTGGTGACCAGGATCCATTTAAAGATTTTAGTTCTTGTTTTTAGAGTCCACCCTCGTACGTCACTGAGCTCCTGAGACCCTCCTCCTCCTCACGGTCATTAAGGTCATCTGACCACAAACTCCTGATGGTCCCTCGCGCCCGTTTTAAAACACGAGGTGACCGCTCTTTCCAGGCCAGCGCCCCTCACCTCTGAACGCTCTACCACTGACCTTACGCAGCGAAGAGTCGACTGACAGTTTTAAAAAAGAACTTAAAACCTCTTTTTAGACAGACTTTTAACTGATCTCTGTGAAGCTGCTTATATCTGTTATTAAATCTGTTTCTCTGTATTTTACTGCATTTTATCCTCGTTGTGAAGAACAAAAATTAAATTTACTTACAATCAAACAGAAAATATGTCTGTAGAATGAAAAACAAATGAGGATCTATTCAGTCCTGTCCGTCTGTTATTTCTGTCTGTCTGTATCTGTCTGTATCTGTGTGTCTGTCGTTCTGTCTGTAATTCTGTCTGTATCTGTCTGTATCTGTCTGTGTCTGTCTGTGTCTGTATTTGCTGACAGAATAATTGGATGATCGGATCATGTGATGAATTTTCCCTTCTGAGGAGAAAATTCTGTTTTCGGTTTATTGGCAGATTTCAGAACTTCTCCTTCTATTCAAGACGGAGATTATAGACTCTCTCACTAATCAGCTTTGGCCATAAACACCACAACACACACACACACACACGCACACACACACACACACACACACACACACACACACAGCAGCAGCAGCAGCAGCTCTCCCGTCCTCTGATCTGCTGTCTTTGACATCAGCAGACACTCCAGGAGATCTGAGAGGGAGAGAAACATGAACAATGGGCCCACCTCCTCCTCCTCTTCCTCCTCCTCCTCTTCCTGCTCTTCCTCTTACTCCTCTTCCTCTTCCTCCTCTTCCTCTTCTTTTCCTCCTCCTCCTCCTCCTCCTCTTTCTCTTCCTCCTCTTCCTCTTTCTCCTCCTCTTCCTCCTCCTCCTCCTCCTCTTTCTCCTCCTCCTCCTTCCCTTTTCCTCCTTCTCCTGCTCTTCCACTTTCTCCTTCTCATCTTCCTCCTCCTCCTTTTCCTCATCTTTCTATTCTTCTTCCTTCTCTTCCTCTTCTTTTCCTCCTCCTCCTCTTCCTCCTCCTCCTCCTCTTCCTCTTCCGTCTCCTTCTCTTCCTCCTCTTCCTCCTCCTCCTCCTCTTTCTCCTCCTCCTCCTTCCCTTTTCCTCCTTCTCCTGCTCTCCCACTTTCTCCTTCTCATCTTCCCCCTCCTCTTCTTCCTCCTCTTCCTCTTCTTTTCCTCCTCCTCCTCCTCCTCCTCTTCCACATAGATTCTGCAGATCCTCCTCTGCTCTTATAGAAATCACACACAGAACCTAAAGCGCAGCGTCTCTTTGGACTCCAGCTGTGCGCCCCGGCCCGGTCCATTCCCGGTTCAGACCCGGTTTAGTCCTGGTTCAGTCCTGGTTCAGACCCAGTTCAGTCCCGGTTCCGGCCCAGTTCAGTCCCAGTTTAGTCCCGGTTCAGACCCGGTTTAGTCCTGGTTCAGTCCTGGTTCAGACCCGGTTTAGTCCTGGTTCAGTCCTGGTTCAGACCCAGTTCAGTCCCGGTTCCGGCCCAGTTCAGTCCCAGTTTAGTCCCGGTTCAGACCCGGTTTAGTCCTGGTTCAGTCCTGGTTCAGACCCGGTTCAGACCCAGTTCAGGCCCAGTTTAGTCCCGGTTCCGGCCCAGTTCAGTCCCGGTTGATCCCCCTCGACAGCGGGTTCTTCCACACAGACCTTCCATCTGCTCTCAGAGTCATTCTTCATCCTCGCAGGTTTGGTCATCCAGGACTTGTCAAATAAGATCAGCGCCGAGTGTTTGGGTCTGTGCAAGAGCGTGGAGAGAGGATGTGAGCGGAGCGGTAATATGTTGACCCGGGTGAGTGTGGAGAGTCCTGAAGAGCGAGCGCAGACAGGAAGTGGCGTGTGAAGATAAATCTCAGCGTGTCAGTGAGCTCGCTCTCCTTTGATGACTTCTTTCAGGGGTTATATTCACGCCGTTCACTCAGGCGAGGGTCACGCTCCTCCTTTGTGCCGTGGTTAGCCTGTTACTCTAAGTCCTCCATCTGCACCAGCTCCTCTTTTTGGCGAGCCGACACCCCCATCAGGAGCCATTCGTCTTGGCGGTGACAGGCCCCGCCCTCCGCTGAGAGACTCTCTGGTTCCCTCAGACGGCGTTCAGGTTTTTTTACTAACAGGCTGAGACACTGTGGCGTTTGTGGGGGGGGGGGTGGGCATTTACCGCCTGGCGTTCCTCCTAATTTATGTTCCCCGACTAAACCGAGTCACCCGAGACTCGGCGGCGGGCGCACCTTCCTCCGCTCCTCCGCAGGTGAACAAATGGAGCGCTGAGAGGTCGGTCATGTGGACAGATGAATCGGCACGTGTTGTAAAAACGTCTAATGATATAACCCTATTATCTGTTTGCAGACGGACGCGGCGCTGATGTATGACGCCGTACACGTGGTGGCGGTGGCAGTGCAGCAGTCCCAGCAGATCACCGTCAGCTCCCTGCAGTGTAACCGACACAAACCGTGGCGCTTTGGGGGGCGTTTCATCAGCCTCATCAAAGAGGTACAGTACCATCTATATATACACCTCATGGTGACCTTTGACCTTTGGAATCCGCTGAACGGTCCTGATTTGGGATATTTAAGTCAAACGAGGTCTGATGTAAAGGTCTGGTCTGGATCAGGATGGTCCAGATCTGCTGTGAGCAGGTTCTCAAAGTCTTTCAGAGACAGACAGTCTAATGAGAGTCCAGACCTGGTCCACAGAGATCCTCCTGATAGTTCCTCTGAACTCGTTATTAAGATTTAAGATTAGCGAATTAATCCAGAGTCTGATCACAACCCCCCCAAACCCTAACCTCAGGAACCTCATAAACCTCAGGAACCCGAACCTCATCATGACCCGAACACCTCTGGACCAGCACTGATGTCAAAACCTGTTTTTAAACCTCCATCATGAGGATTTCAGGACATTTAAACAGGAAAATCAAGATTTATATTTAATATGTTATATTAGTCATAGAAGTTCAGATTTATATCTATATATATTTATGACATTATAAAATTTATAATAATAATGATGAAAATAATAAGAAATTTTATTTATAATGCGTTTTTACAGGTGCTCAGAGACGCCTTACGAAGAAAAAAAACAAGAAAAAAAATTTAAAATACAGAAAATTTTGAGAAATAATACCAACGATGTAAAAGGTTAAAAAGACACAAAACATAAATCCTGATTATAAATATATAATAAAAAACCTTATTTACATCATATTTCACATACATCCTGATTTATATTTAAATTTTATACTAAATATATAAAATAAGTCCAGATTTATATCTATAAATATCTTTATAAAGCCTGATTAATATTGAAAAATTTATTCAATATACAATAATTCCAGATTTATATATACATCTGACATAAATCCTGATTTTAAATAATATGATATAAATCCTGATTTATGTTATATTATATTATATTATATTATATTATATTATATTTAACATCCTGATTTTGAATCCTAATCCTCACAGTCCTCCTCCAGATTTTTCAGCTGCACTAACAGTTGAAGTTAAATCACTTGATGATTTTTTCGATCCTTTATTCTTAAAAGAATTTTGATCCAGTTCTTCCTCAGATGACCGCTTAATGACTTGGACCTGGTACTGACCTTTGACCCAGTTGGCCCTCCTGTTATTTAAATATTAAAAACTACATTAGTGTCTCTAAACTGTGTTTTTGTCAAACCCATCCTCTCCTCGATCGTGTAATCGCCTCATTATTAGAGTAACTCCATGTTTTTTTGTGATGTTATATCCCCCCCCCGTGTTGGTATCAAAGCCTGGGCCCGTCTCCTTAACTCTAGTCCGGGTCAGCGCCGGCTTTGTTCTCCAAAGGTCTTTTTTTCTGAGGATGGTATCATTGCAGGTAATTTTCAGAATGAGCCTGTTGTAGCTGCTGCTTCTTCCTCCTCCTCCCCTCCTCCTCCCTCGATCAGCCGTCTGTTCCTCCAGCAGCTTTGAAGTGAAACTTCAAGCACAATGAAGCACATGCATAATGAACTCTTACCTGTCAGAGCCGCTCCTTTATTGTTTCTTGTTATGTTGTGGAGATCGACGGCGAGGGGAGAGGCAGACAGAATGAGTAATTGGGATGAAAAGTTTGAGGTGAGCTGAGGGATTGATATCGTTGAGGAGGAGGATTTCTTAAGGTTAATGGACTGAGTGGATCAGAACCGCAGGACTCCGGGTGATTCTGCTGCTGTCTTCTTCTTCTGTCTGCAGGCGCACTGGGACGGTCTGACGGGACGAGTTCTCTTCAACAAGACCAACGGGCTGAGGACGGACTTCGACCTGGACGTCATCAGTCTGAAGGAGGACGGGCTGGAGAAGGTGGGTCTTCATGTGGTCCGGTCCGAGTCTTACAGGATCTGGGTCTGTAAAGACCAGACCTGATGGTTCTGATTGACTCTGAATTATGTCCACAGATCGGGACGTGGGACCCTCCCAGCGGTCTGAACATGACCGACACTCACAAAAGCAAGACGGCCAACATCACCGACTCCCTCGCCAACAAATCCCTGCGAGTTTCCACCATCCTGGTACCGGAACGATCTCGACCCGCTTTACTCACAAACATACAGAATACCGATCAGACTGACGTACTTCCCTCTCTGTCCTGCAGGAGGAGCCCTACGTGATGTTTAAGAAGTCCGACAAACCTCTGTACGGGAACGACCGATTCGAGGGTTACTGCATCGACCTCCTCAGGGAGCTCTCCGCCATCCTGGGCTTCCGCTACGAGGTGCGACTGGTCGAGGACGGGAAGTACGGCGCTCTGGACGAGGGCGCAGGCCAGTGGAACGGCATGGTGCGGGAGCTCATGGACCATGTAAGTGGGCCGGCGCCACAATCCTGACCCGTGTTTTATTTTGAAAAGAAGCCGGATGTTTTATTTTGTGTCTGTGCCCGACTTCCTTTCCAGCACGGGTTAATCTGTGCTGAATTTATCCGCCATGCTCCGGCGTCCAGAAAAAACAGAACTCTTGTGATCAGCTGAGGAGTCCGGCGATCCGCAGAGGAACGGAAAGAAGTCGGTGTAAATTGACACGTTAACTTGAATGGTTACGATCAGCTACGATGAGGGTTTAGTAATTGTACTGTTTCTTCGGTCGTCATGGTTTCGTACCGTCTCCTGTCTTCAGTCTGCAGTTTCCATCCCTGGTGGATGTTGTCGTCATCATTTTACCGTTATCCTGCTCTCTTCACTCGATCCTTTACAGCTGAGATATTTCGGTTTATTTTAACAAAGTGAAATTATAGTTATTATGATAATATTATGTTATTTTTAGGCCATAATCTGTGAATTTAGGAGGACTTGAACCTTAACCCAGAGTGAACTCAGCAGCGGCGGTGAGGTTTGGATTTGTCAGAATAAACCTGAATGTTTGATGAAGAATTATGTCAGCGAGCGTTTGTTCATTAAGAGTTAATCCTTAATCCTAAAACCGTCATCTGTGACATCACAGATTAATAACGTGTCACTTCCTGAAGAAGATCTCAGGTAACCCTCTCTGAACAAACGCCTCTCGCTGTCGTCTCTCTTTAAGTCGGCGCTCTTCCTCTCCGCTCATTTATCCAGCGAACGGCCCGTCGACAGGAATCAGATCTTAATTTGGTTGCCGCTCTTTTATTGCTGCGCTCTAACACCTGCCCCTCTCCACATCCTTTATCCGATTGCAGAAAGCGGACCTGGCTGTGGCTCCTCTGGCCATCACCTACGTCAGGGAGAAGGTCATCGACTTCTCCAAGCCCTTCATGACGTTGGGGATAAGTATCCTGTACCGCAAGCCCAACGGCACCAACCCCGGGGTCTTCTCCTTCCTCAACCCCCTCTCGCCCGATATCTGGATGTATATTCTGCTGGCTTGCTTGGGTGTCAGTTGTGTGCTGTTTGTCATAGCCAGGTAACATGTCAACCCTCTCCTCTTCTCCTCCTCCCCCTCATCACTTCCTCCGCTTCCTTACCTCCTTCCTGTTCGCCTGCTTTCACCAACACGCCGCAGCAGCAGCGGTGGCTCCCTCAGGGCCTTCAGAGAGGAAGTCACGCAGAGAGAAAATCACTGAGCTCTCAGTTTGAGGAGAAAGAGTCTCTGAGATAACTGGAGGGAGGAGCCGCTGAAGTCGAGCTGAGGTGGTCGTTTTCATCACCTGAGTTTACGATCATTAAAGATGAAGACGATCACCTGAGAGAAACTTCAGGGGCTCAGAGTCAGACAGACAAACAGACAAACAGACAAACAGACGCAGTCCTTCTATGAACATCAGCGTAAAGACAATTATTAGTCTGAGTCAGAGCGATGAAACATTAACGGTGTTGTAGTCAGGATCTGAGTTAGTTCCAGTTTTTAGGAGAAATCTTGAATGTAAACTCTACCCCTCCAACCAGTTTTCCCCTCAGCTCCTCCTCTCCTCTTAAGCCCCGCCCACAAACAGACGCTCCTGCTCACTCGTATCGTTCCAATTAAATTCAGATATAATGCAGATAAATACTTCAGATCATTACAAATGGGGCCCAGTCAAGGTGAAAGTCAAAAGCATTGGTGCTACTGTAGATGCCAACAGACTACCAGCAAACACAATGTTTGCAGGACTTCTACAACGAGGATAAAGTGACATAGTCCAGGACCCGAGGGAGGACAGTTTAGCGATGGCGCTACAACACGCTACAGCAGGTCCGTTTGACAAGAAACACTTCTGTTACAGACACTTGTCTTACTTTGTTAAAGCGGTTTACCTGTCCAGCAGAAAGGTTACAGGGTCACCAAGATCCCCAAGCGTCCCCCATGGTTTATGTTGACCCGGCTTTTTAGCTCTTGTCCGGTCTACCTCCGTTTTAAGCGCCCGTTATTCCTCCAGAGTCTCCGGTATTTACTTTGTTTTCTTGCTTGTGTCGGCAGTCGTGGCCAAAGGAGGATTCAGACAATTTTCCGAACTTTCTGGTTGGTTTCTACTGTCCGATATTGTAGCACGCTAACTTTGTTTGGGCTCCTGAACGACACGGGGGAGCAGCAGTTTCTTGCTGACTGTTTTCTTGTTGATTGTTTTCTCGTTGACTGTTATCTTGCTGACTGTTTTTTGTTGACCATTTTCCTGTTGACTGGTTTGGTGTTGACTGTTTTCTTGCTGACTGTTTATGTTTGAGTGTTTTCTTGCTGACTGTTTTCTTGTTGACTGTTTTCTTGCTGACTGTTTTCTTGTTGACTGTTATCTTGTTGACTGATTATGGTTGACGTATTCTTGTTGACTGTTTTCTTGTTGACTGTTTTCTTGTTGACTGTTTTCTTGTTGACTGTTTTTTGTTGACTGTTTTGGTGTTGACTGGTTTGGTGTTGACCGGTTTGGTGTTGACTGTTTTCTTGCTGACTGTTTTCTTGTTGACTGTTTATGTTTGAGTGTTTTCTTGCTTGTGTCGGCAGTCGTGGCCAAAGGAGGATTCAGACAATTTTCCGAACTTTCTGGTTGGTTTCTACTGTCCGATATTGTAGCACGCTAACTTTGTTTGGGCTCCTGAACGACACGGGGGAGCAGCGTCTGCCTCACAACCAATCAGGTTAGAGGAGGTGGAGAACGGCTTTGTTTACAGTCAGAAAGAGCGGACCGCTCAAAAATGTTCAAATGTTGACGACACAGACAGAAGAGAACACAGAGATATCGATATATTACCAAATAATCAATAACTAATAACTATTGACTGATATTAGAAGATGTTTTGTAAATACACCACACAGGTTCCTGCCTCCTCCACCTTTAATCCAAGTTTAGGTTTTGATGAGTCTGTTTGGCGCCTCACTCACATGTCAGCGGCTCAGGGTTTAAAAACACGATCGTCTCGTTTTCTTTAGTAGATCATAACGAGACGTCGGTGGAGTTTATCGGCGAAAACCTCCTCACAGGAGCTTTACGACGCCTCAGATGTGTTTTCTGTTTTTCGCTGACTCGCCCTTGAACTCACACAGAGGAGGTTTGAATCCAAACCAGCGCCTGAAGATTCAGTTTGGTAGAGAAGCAGGAAAAGGAGAACACAAAGAGAGAAACGATGATTCCTCTGGTTCAGAGTCTCAGCGCTACGGTCCAGGAGAAACGCTGAGTCAACCACGTATTTCTGGCTTATTTGCACAAATCTCAGCAAGTGTAAACCCAACAACCCGTTACATAGATCTCCTAATCAGCTGTGAAAAAGGACAATGCTGACACTGCTCTTCCAAATACCCCTCTAAAAGCCCCCCCGATTCATGACCAGAGCAGAGAGATGAGCGCTAACCTCGGGGTCGTCTCCTGAGGTCGACGCTCATCTCATCAGATGTTACCGGCACAATGATCTCACCCAGGAGAAGCAGCAACTGTCACCTAAGTTAGTTCAGAATATGCACATTTGTTCTCCCCACTCTCTGTGTCCACAGTGGGTCAGGGTAAGTGATCAGCATGTTTATACTTTAATGAACCCGCCTCAGTCCTCCTGTCCTCTGAGTTCATGTCCTCCTGTCCTCTGAGTTCATGTCCTCCGTCCTGTTTCTGCAGAGAAGAGGTAAAAATCTAAAGTCCGGTGTTTTCCACACTCGGCTGCGCCCGTCTGCTCATAATTGTAGTATTGATTACACAAACGGAGCGGACAATCCTCTAAATGTAGAGTACATTATTTTCTTTTAATCCCTGAGAATAGAGAGAGAGAGAGAGAGAGAGAGAGAGAGAGAGAGAGAGAGAGAGAGAGAGTGAGAGAGAGAGAGAGAGAGAGAGAGAGAGAGAGAGAGAGAGAGAGAGAGAGAGAGAGGGAGAGAGAGAGAGAGAGAGAGAGAGAGAGAGAGAGAGAGAGAGAGAGAGAGAGAGAGGAGGAGGGCGCTTATGGACTCCTGCTTCTGCACAATAAAACACTAAACACCT